CCTTGGCCCAATGCCCTGGGAACCACCCTACTCAGGATGTGACCCCCTTCTCACAGTGTGTGTGCATTAAGTGCCAGCAAAGTGGATTCCAACCTGTGGGAACACTATGAATTCATGACCTCAAAAATGTCCTATCAACAGCCTTGCTCAGATCTTGCAAACTGAAGTCCATGGCTTCCTTTAGAGAGACAATCTATCTCATGTTGGGTCAGTTACAAGTTCTTTCAGAGCTGTTCTCTCAAGGGCAGTTCTTGAAAGAGCTCTCTCAGTCCCACCTACCTCACAGGCAGTGTTCCCTCTAAGCCGAGTTAGTGTGAGCTAGCTCACCGTTTTTTAGCCTCCAGCTCACACATTTTTGTCTTCGCTCAGGAAGGAGGGCTCCAGAGCAAACTAATTTATGCAGAAGCCAAATCGCTTGCTCACAACTTTAATGCCAGTAGCTCACAAAGTAGAGGTTTTGCTCACAAGACTCCACAGCTTAGAGGGAGCATTGCACAGGGTGTCTTGTGTGGAGGGGAAGGGAAAGGAGACTGCAAGCTGCTCTGAGACTCTGACTGAAGGGTGGGGTATGGTTCCAATCTCTTCTTCACATCCTTTTTTCCTGCTGCCTTCATCTTTTCCTCACATTATTGTCTTTTCCATCAACTCCTGTCTTCTCATAATGTGACCAAAGTACAATGGCCTCAGTTTAGTCATTCTAGCCTCTAGGCAGAGTTCAGGCTTGATTTGAGCTAGAACCCTTCTCACCAGTAGTGGGGAATTAGCTCAAGTGGTAGAGTGCTCACTTAGCATGCAAGAGGTAGTGGGATTGATGCCCACATTCTCCAGCAGTGGGCAGCCTTTTCTGCTGCCTCTCCTTTTCCTGGCCAGAGCTTCCCCTGGCCCCATGCCCTGGCAACCACCCCTTCTCAGGATGGCATGAACCCCTTCTCACCAGCAGTGGGGAATTAGCTCAAGTGGTAGAGCGCTCGTTTAGCATGCGAGAGGTAGTGGGATCGATGCCTACATTCTCCAGCACTGGACAGCCCTGTTGGCTGCCTCCTTTTGCTGGCCAGATTCATGGGGAGTGATGCCTGCCCTGGCTCCATACCCTGGCAACCACCTCTAGTGTCTCTCTCCTTCTCAGGATGTTACCCCCTTTTTACCATTACTGGGGAATTAGCCTGAGTGGTGGAGCACTTGCTTAGCATGAGAGAGGTCGTGAGATCGATGCCCACATTCTCCAATAAAAGCACTCTCCCCAAAAAAGAGTGAGGGTGGCTGTTTACTGGCTTTTTTGGTTCAAGAGCTGGGCCTCGCCTTTTCCCTCCAACCCAGGGTGACATATGCCAGCACGGTAAAGTAACAGGGAAATTAGGCTACTTTGCTTTGACTAAGCATTAAACATAAGGAGTCATTTGAGGGGAGGTCCTGATGCATAGTGCCTCTTTGCAAACCAAACAGGGGAATTAGCTCAAACGGCAGAGCGCTCGCTTAGCATGTGAGAGGTAGCAGGATCAATGCCTGCATTCTCCAGCACTGGACAGCTGCCTTCTTTTCCTGGTCACAGCCAAAGGGAGCAGGATCTGTCCTGGCCCCATACTCTGGCATCCACCTTCTTGGGATACATGGGCCCCTTCTCACTTTGGGCAGGGGTCTTGTTGTAGAAAAAGAGCTGCCGGAGCTCATTAGCATAACTCATTAGCATAACTTATTTGCATATGCCACGCCCCCTGACATCACCGGAAGTGACAGAAGGCCACACCCCCTGACATCACCGGAAGTGTGTCAGAAGGCCCGGCTACTTACCCTCCTGCTTCATCCTCATTCCCAAACGGAATGAGGATCGAAGCAGAGGGCGGGGTAAAGAAGGGGGCGGGGCTTCACCACGTGACCGCCCCGCCCCCTAGAGGTTCTCTTCCGGAGCTCCGTACCTGAGAGCTCCCCCCCGACTAGAGCCCTGACTTTGGGAATGCCATTGCTTAGACCATGCGGACTTTTGTTGGCAGGGTGATGTCTCTACTTTATCATGCTGTTTAGGTTCGCCATCGCTTTCCTCCCAAGGAGCAGGCGTCTTTTAATTTCATGGCTGCTGTCACAGTCTGCGGTGATCTGGGATCCCTTCTCACTAGCAGTAGGGAATTGGCTCAATTGGTAGAGTACTCGGCTTGCTTAGCATGAGAGACGTAGTGAGATCGATGCCCACATTCTACAACATGAGCACTCTGCCCACAGAGTGGGGGGTGGCTGAGCATTGGCTTTTTGGTTCACATGTAGTGTCATCCCTTTTCTCACCAACCCAGGATGACGCATGCCAGCACAGTAAAATAACAGGAGAATTAAGGTGATTTCCTTTGACCAAGCATTAAAAACTGGGAGCTATTTGAAGGGAGGTCCTGATGCATAGTGCACCTTCCCAGACCAGGCAGGGGAATTAGCACAAAAAGTAAAGTGCTTGTGCACAGAAAATCAGTTTTTTAAATGCTGCTTGTGTCAGAGAGTCAGGAAGTTCATGAGTTAATCTTCCCTGGAGAGAAGAGCTTAAGTGGTTGGCTGCTCTACTCATTCTCTGATTGGCCGGCATCACCTTAGAGAGGAGATAAAACAGCTGATATGAAGGGGAAAGACTCAAACTTTGTTTTCATTCATCATACAATAAAGCATTCATTTCATAGCAAGCAAAATACCCATCTATACCTTGCCTCACTGTAACAGGTCTTGATAGTTTTAAGGTTTGCATGGAGTCCCTACCTTTCTATTCATTTCCATAGTTGGAAATGTAATATTCTATGAATTTATACTAGCTTTCTATGAATTTATGCTAGCTTCCCCACCTCAGATGTTTGAGAACTTTGTTTCTGCAGATAGCAATTTCCCCAGAACACAGCTGCCTCTAGTCTCTTGCTTCTAATTGTAGTTATACTACAAGTATGACATGAACATGTCAGGAACCATCTTTCCCCCACATAATAGTTTGACATTTTGTATTTCCAGATGTTTGAGAAAAAGAGCCAAGGAGTGTCTTCTATTTTTAGCGGCAGTCAGTTGTCTGCTGTAACCTAGCTCTAAGGTGGGGCCAATTGTCAGTAACCTGACAGATTCAGGTTCCTAACGGATAACTGTAGTGACCACATTAAATCAAGGTTTTAAAAGCAGCCCTAAGGCCACTTGGGGCACCAAAACAGCTGAGAGCAACATGTTGGTTCTGGCCAGGGGTGTGTCTCTTGTCAGCTGTCATCTGCTGCAATCATGCCACGTCTGTCGTGGCCAAGATTGGCCTGCAGATCACCTCTGCAGCCAGCCATGGACCTGGTGGTAGCAATGCAGGGGGGAGGCGTCTCATTCATGCACTTGTGCTACAGCTACATAGATCCCAGATGGGCTGCAGAATACCTCTCCAGCCTGCTTTGGACTTGGTGGAGCTGGCACAGGAGGAAAGTACTTGGGATGGCAAAACTCATGGATCTGGTCCTATACAGCCCACACTAGCTGTGGTCCACCAAACTGAACATCTCCCAAGCAATCCTGTAACGTGGCATACCAGAAACTTGACAGACCCTTCCCCGCTCTAATTGTGTGGCCTAATGTTGGTGGCAAAACCAAAGTGTGATTTTGGCTCAGATGATCCATGATATATAGGCTTTTGGGCTATGGTCATCTTGGTGGGTGACAAGTTGTCAAGGTTTGATGTAGTACACAATCCCAACCTGGTGCTCATAGGGGCCATGGCGCCCACTGACACCTTTCCTGGTGGCAGTCAAGTGTTTGGAAAGTGGGTGGGGTCAGCAGGGCTCCCGTCCAGCAGGGCTTCTGATTGGCCATTGGTGATCCGATTGGCTGTGCAAATTAAAATAATTCCCTCTCGTTCCCTGTGCATTTTCTAAAATTACTCCCCACGTGCCCTGCACCTGGACTTCCTTTGTGTGTGGCTCCGCCTCTTATTGCAGCCATCTTGAGGTTGGCTCCACCTCCCATGATGGCCACGTGGTGGTTAGGTTGCACCTAACTTGCGTCTGAATTCCAAACGTGTCCACAGGCCCAAAAAGGTTGGGAACTCCTGTATCAGAGCGAGGGCGTTATGAGGAGGCAGAACGGACTGCTCCATTTCATACCACAGGTGACCCGTCGTATATTTCAAGGTTCCACCCAAGGTGAATAATCCCTGTCAATGGAAAAGCTGCAAAGTACAAGACTTAGAAGCCTTGTCCCTGCTGTGCTAAGTTTTATTGGTAGGGAGTTTTTACACTGATTTCATAACAGAGAGGTTTAAGGGGAAAAAATATTGAGGGGACTAATCAGAAGGATGTTTAAAAGGGAGAACAAAGAGTGTCTGACCATCCCAGAACACATGGGAATTGTTTTAGAACCACACTCATTGGATCCCAGCAATGCATACCTCAGGTGAGGAAAAGTAACACCAAGCCTAAAAGTATGCATGTGTGGGCAAGCAGACCAAGTCAAGGAAGCCGTAAAAAGGGGAAAGCTTCATTCAGAAATGGGAAGATTTTTGCAAATGATCTAAACCCCACATTTATCCAGGTACTGGTCCCTGGTTTTATTTTTTTAACTGTAAACATAATAGCTTTCTTTAAAAAGCATTCACAATAACATGTGGACAGGGCTGTGTGATGGAAGGAGCCGTTAAGTCACAGCAGACTTATGGGGACCGCACAGGGTTCTCAGGGCTAGAGACGTTCAGATAATACATGGTTTGCCGTTGCATGCCTTTGCGGAGACCCTGGACTTCCTTGGAGGTCTCCCATCCAAGTACTCACCAGGGCCGATCCTGCTTAACTTCTGAGATCTGGTGAGATCGGGCTAGCCTGGGCCATGCAGGTCGGGGGAAACAGGGTTGTATTCTGTGCTAGATGGAGGTCTCCTCCATCTGTTGGCCTGTCTACACTGGGAGGCTCTGAACATATGGCTGGAGGGGGGGGGACACTGTACCCTGCTACAGTCGGTAATAAAAAGACAGAAGGGGGTAAAAGCAACAACAACAAGAGAAGGTTTTCTATAGGGCAATAAACTTTACTTTAAATAAAACACACAGCAGAAGCCAGTCATACAAACACACCGAGTGGCAATCAGGCTGCCTCAAACCGGCCCGGTTCTCATCGCAGCCCGAGCCCATAAAAATTGCTTGAGTGGCAAAAGTGACACCGTCGCCCGGAAGGGGAGGACAGAAAGAGTGAGGAGCAAGCAGAAACTTCATTAGGAATTTCACTGCCCCGCCTTCTAGTGCAAACCGCATCCAATGAAGCAAACATGCCATCGTCATGTGACTGGGACAAACCGGGGGTGGTACCAAGTAGGTGAGATAGTTAGGGAACCGTCCCAGCTGGACAAGGCTATTGCTCCCCCCCACACCCACAATGCTCCCTCCCCCCTCTCTCCTGGTGTCACCGAACAGCACCCTCAAGGCACCAGTCTCTTCGTAGTAGTGTTGGCCTACAGACAATGCGGGAGAAGCTATAAAAAGAGGGTGTCGTATCACACCGCCTGGGAGGCATGAAAAAGGAAAGAGGGACACGAGCATGCCTCCGATATGCTGTAGTGTGTTAAGAAGCCCCCAGGTGGGGCGTCAGAATTCTGTTTAAAAAGGGCACCCTGCACAGTCCTGGGTGGCGTCTCTCCCAAACGGAGGCGGGAGCAGTGGAACTTCGGCACTTCGGCCCCTCCTCTGCGGTCTGAGTGCTTCACAGCAAAACACAATCAATCATGTAAAAACAAGCAGCAGGTTTTCTTAACCCACCCACCCCGCCTGGGTTTCTTCCCTCCGCCTCCAGCCCAAGCCTTTTCCTACAACTCGCTGGCCACTAAGGATGACGGTGTCACCAATAACCCAACAAGCTAGGAGAAGGGTGCGGGGAGAGATCAACTTCCAGGATGCAATGCTGCAAGGAAGCAGGTGCATGCTGGGGGGAGAAGGGAAGGGCAGCCCAACAGTGGGACCCAAATGCCAAAGTCCCCAGTAGCAAGGGGGGTCGGATGGGCACCGCAGTGCTAGGGGTATTAAGGGGGAAGGAAATCTGGGTCGTACCAAACAGGGGGATGGGGGTTTAAGACTCCACCTGCAGGCTACGCTCCAGACAGGCGAGGCCAAAACAGCTCCGTTATCTGAGCATTCAGCGAGGCGCCTCCCCCGGCTCTAACCCATTCCTTGCACCTCCTTATCGCAACCATCTCTCCCTTGTTCTCTTGCCACGGGGCATGGGTCAGAGGCTGATACTGCGGTGGTGCTTGAAGGAGTGGGGCTGGGCATTGCGGCGCTGCTCCCGCTCCTCCAGCTCGTCGCTGTTCAGGCTGGCGGCATCGGACAGCCCCAGCAGGTGCTCGACCGAGTCAAACTTCTGCAGGTCAGAGGCAATGGTCTGGAAGCTGAGCACCGAGAGAGTGTCGGCAGAGGAGGACGGCTCGGGAGGCAGCACCGCCCCTCCGTACAGCAGTGCCGGGCTGGCCTCGGCGCCGACTGGGGAGGCCCGCCGACCGACCAGGCGCTGGAGCCGCCGGGCATGGATCTGCTCGCTGATCTGCTCCAGGTTCCGCAGGGCCACCGAGTAGCGCATCTTGGCCTGGGCCACTTGCTGCTCCAGGGACGTCACCCTGGCCTTGTGCTCCTAGAGGGCAGAAGAAGAACTAAGATCAAACCATCCCCATGTGCAGAGGTGCCGGTGAGCTTTCCCTGCATTTTTGGTTTCGGGATAAGGGGAAAAAAAACCACACCAAGTTCATGCAAAATTCCACACAATCTCTTGGAGGATTGGCTACATTAGGGGTGTGTCGCTTAATATGCAAATGAGTACCTGCTACAAACAGAGCCCTAGGCCACTTTCTTTCATTTCTCTTGGCAAAGACACTGCGTTCTAACTAATGGAGAGACCAATGTCTAGATCACTAGAGCGCGACAA